TCTTTTACAAAATCACCTGAGGTAGGAATATTAGACATCGCTGTGGGTAACTCAGTGAACAGCTTCAGTATGCTGTCACAGATAAAGATGCATTTAAAAATAATAGGGTGAAGAATAACAAGAATAGCTTAATAACTTTGAAGACACATCAGTAAGCATTCTGCTCTGAAATGCTGCCCTGGCCATTCCTTCTCAAGGAGGTGTTTCAGTCCTAAGTGTGACTAAGAAATGGATAATATACATAGGCCAGGTATAGAAAACACTTTTGAAAGAAAAAACTACATGGACTTCTCACTTCTTAACTTTTTAAAATGGCCTTCTGTGTTAATAACACAATGTTATTAAAATAGGTTTTTTTAAAATAAAAGAGCCTAAAAATAAAATGTAATAAGAACAAAAGGAACAAGACCTGTGTCTCCTTTCTCTTATCAGAAAAGTTAGCAGCAAGTGAATGAAATATTAGAAACAGAATTATTCAAAATTTATAATGGAACTGGTTTTTTTTTTCTAAAATTTTTCCTGAACCTTTACAAATTATTATCTTGGGGAGTCTGATCTCTAATGTCAGAAAGATTAGAATGTGTATAGGGCATCAATTTAGATTTATAACTAGTGTTTCAAATAAGAGACCTTAGAAGAGGGATCCAACCTATTATCTCATAGCAATCACTGCCAGAACTGTTACAGGGCACATCTGAGACCAGACAGGTCTGCAGACCCTGTCAGCCTGCTGCATTCTGGAGATGCTCTTCCTGCCACAAGCAGAGCTGCTTCCTTGCTCCACATCCACTGATCCAGCCACATCAATCACCAGGCTTCTGTCACCCACAGCATTTAAAGTCATGCTGAACACATGCCCTAGCAAGGCAAATGGATTGTCCCCTTATTTACTGCCAAGTCCTGAGCACCATCTATATACCAAATGTCTGATCAACTTCCATCAAAGATAGGATACTCTCCTAAACTTGGGGTCTAGACACTGCCTTCTCCTCACAGATTACAAAGAGGGGCAGCCCTGGTGCTCACAGGTCTTATCTGCTTTCTGCAGCTGAGAGGAAGGACATGTCAGCCATCTCTATCATCTGCTGAGGACCTAGATCAAGCTCGTAAAAATGACAAGAAATTTTCACTAGTATGACTATTCTTAAAAGAGCAAGTACTTTACACTGATTAGCCAGTTTTCCCTGCTCAGGAGTTAGGCTGAAACGGTATTTGTATTCTACAGAGATAAAATGTGTTCCCAAAATTTAAAACTGGCATTTAATTACAGGCATTCTTGCATTTAAGAAATTCAGACATGGTGACACTCAAATTGAGACAATTTTTTTGTTCATGTATTGTATTTCTGGCCAAAACATCACCTCTCCTTTTAAGCACACTTTCCAAACACTGTGTCTCAGATATTTTTTTAAACATCTGCTGTCACATCCATTTAGGAATTACAGTTTTTTTTATCCCTCATTGCCATTCTTTCCACCTCACATAATTCATCTCTATAGTTCCACTATTCCTTCACAGTGACTGCTGTCTTGTTTTCATTTCTAGCTCTGCTGCCATGAGTCAGTTTCATACTACAGACTAGAGACCAGTAAGCAATACTGTTCTACTTAAAAGCCTTAAAAGCCTTAAAAGGCTTTTACCTGCTTACAAGGAAATTGTTTATGAGCATATTAGGGGGCATTTTCATGCAAGTTCACACTTTGCATCATAATAAACAGAAATTACCCTCTTCCCTCCAGTGTGTGACTGTGCAATCACTTTCAATGCTTTAGTGCTGACCTTCCCAGCCTGCCCACAGCCCTGTTATTACATAAGTACACATGTAGAAATAAACATGTGTATTGGCAGAGTTTGTGCCTGCCAAAAGCAGCCGCCCTTCTGCAAATGTAAATCACTACATTCCATTAGAAAATGACACCTATAATTGTATGTCTCTTTATTAATGCCTCTTAGTGCCTCCTGTATTTCACTTGCTGTAGATCTATCATCCTCATCTAGAATCTGCAATTACATTTGCCACTGTCTTCTAGGACAGATTTCAAAAGTAAGCCTTTGGACTTTGTCTACAAAATACATGTTTACTTGTGCAAAGAGATACTTCTGTAGAAAGACATGAGCAAATATTATCTGTCATATACATTTGATCTGTGTAAATACTTGCCTGCAGAAATGAAAGCATTATACTAAAAAGCAGTTGAGCTAGAGTAGAAGGAGTAAAACTCAATAGTTTATTACTAGTAATTAGTTTATTACAGAGTAATTAGGTAATTTAGGTTTACATCAAAATAGATTTAGGAATTCTTTTTAATCCCTAATGAAACTGGAAACTGAAAGAGGTTTTGTGGTTGCAAATAAAAGAAAATAGATAAACACATATTTTCATGGATGTCATTATTCTCTTCCTTCTTCCATAATCTTACTGCTAGACTAAGCCAGCAAGGACCTTGCAAACTTCTGCATTTGTTTGGGAGATCCAGCCCTACAGGGCAGCACAAAGTGGTCTGAGCAGAGACATTTTTGTGCCACCCTTTTGGTATTTTTGTGCATTGGATAGATAGCTGTTCATGAGTGCAGAAGCAGAAACAACAGTGTTCACCTGCAAGTCTTAGCTGCCAGACCTCAAAGGCCCTCATGCACAAAAGGGAACATGAAAAGGGAACATAGAAGCACTGCTTACAGTTGATTATTTGAGAAAGCAGAGATGGGCTTTATTGATTTATTTTTGTGAATAAGCATAGACAAAGTTTTTATAATATGGGTTTTTTTCATTAATGCCACATTTCACTTTCTAAATAAAATTTGTGGATATTTGAGTCAAAGAGAAAGTATTTTTTCCTTTTTCTGTTATGCAAAATGTGCTCATAAAGCACAATTCCTAAAAATCCTGCTGAAGTTGAAAAAAAAATTGCCAAAACAATTTTTTTGAAGTGGGTCTTCAGAGTAAGTAAAGAGTGCATACAGAGACTTAAAATTAATTCTTTTAAACTAGCAGAAATATAGCAGCTCCACCTCTTGGAAAAACTGTCCTGTCAGTTATGTAGCATGTGCATGAGAAGGGCAGCAGGGCAAAAAACTCATCCAAACTGACACATGTATATTAGCTGGATGACAAAAGAATTTGATGGCATTTAGCTTGTAGTGAATCCTCCTTTTCCCACATACCTAAAATACATAGGAGAGATTACATGCTGAATTTAACATGCAAGAATAACAGTGACTATAGGTCACTACAGGTGACTAAAGATTGGCATGTTTTAAAGTATAAGCAATCCTTGAATGTCAGATTAAACTCCCAGAGATGGTCAGAAATTTCTAGCAAATACTATACAAGCCTCAAAATTTCAGGGCAGTTCTGAAAGTAGCTTTAGGATCTGGGGCTCAAAGTGTGCTTCCCTGAGCACTCAAATGCTGATACTGCACTGAAGCAGACACAGAAGCCCGATCATGAGAAAGTCTGGAAATGACCAACTGGTTCCTTTGGCTCATCCAAAAGGGACAGCACTGGATGTTCCTGCTGTTTGGTGAGTATATGCACACTGCTTTTGGAAAGGTGCCTGTTAAAGGGCCTCTCTGTACCTCTCTGTGGGGGTGGAGGTGAGATCCTGTTCCTGTTCTGATGAGAGTGACTGATTTTTTAGACATGTGACTTGGGTACTTTCTTGCTCAGTGACCCGATGAATAATCTCAAATTTCATAAGCTGACAATTGTAAAGGGAGGAGACTGGTTGTTTCTTCCCTCAGTTACAATACAGCTTGATTTTTAGGACCTGCTTTCTAAGATGGAATTCATCCAGGCTGGCAGAAAAGAAAATAACTTTTTCTTCCCTACTGTGTTTAAGCGAAGAATACCCAGATACATATGCCTTAGATTTAAGAGGCGAACACAATAGCTGATGGTATTTAAAGGAAAATATTATGCTCCCACCCCATATGGAGAGAGTTCTGAATAGAACCATTCGTTAAGTGTTGGATTTGTGATCGTGTCCCTGTCCTCTGTTCACACTTCTCACTAGCTGAAGCTCTGCACACTGGGGTTGCTGCATGCTGTAATCCACATCCCTGAACTCCAGAGTGGGGATCAAGGGCCTAGAAAGAAGGTACATGGAGGTGCATGTAGATGTTGCCACTCCACCCTTCAGAGAACAGGACTTGCTGAATACTGGAATTCTGTTCTTGAAAAGACTTTTCATGGTCAAGTAGTGTGTAACACTTTGATGACTTGTTGCTTTCAACACTGTCACTTGCACTGCTGTTTCCTGAGACAGTACAGGAAGACCTTTTATCTAATGATCACAAATGGGAAAATGGATTCCTATTATGAAAGGCTTTCTACTCCACAAGACAGGCTTCTTTGAGATAGAAAAAGCTAGTTTTATTTAGACCAGCTTCAACACTGATAAATTTTCGATACTAGTAAAATTTTCTGAGAAAGAACATTCCGGTCATACTTTGTAACAGTAACAGCAGAGATTTCATAATTTAAATAGGAAGATTTTTTCCACACTGAACTTGGTTTTGATCTTCTGAAAAGATAAATAATCTAACATACTAGTCAGGGTGAAGAAACCACACTATCTATATATTTTGCATGTTTGCATCAGACTACTCTAATGTAGAATATATTTTGAATGTGTGAAGAATAATAATTTTTAATTTAACAACAATAATTTTTAAAAAGTAGTTTTTCTGTTGAGAAATTGTCTGGTTATCCAAACTCCTTAAAGCAGTCTACCGTGTTACACGTATTTTAAATATCACTTTGCTAATACAATAGCTACTAATCTCATATACTAGGTTGCAAAGATATTTTTTACCCATCTGGAAGGAATTAATTGTAATTCTGTAGAAATTCTATTTTCTGAACAGGGGAGGATTTTTATGTAAAAGTTGTTGTGTTTTAACCCCAGCCAGCCAACAAGCCCCAGGCAGCTCCTTGCTCAGTCCCCCACCAGAGAGACTAGGAAGAGAATGGGAAGGGTAAAAGCCAGAGTACTCATGAGTTGAGATAAAGACAGTTTATTAGTAAAAACAAAAGCCATGCACTCAAGTGAAACAAGATAAGAAATTATTTCACTGCTTCCCATGGGGAGGCAGGTGTTCAGCCATCTCCAGGAGAGCAGGGCCCCATCATTCGCAGTGCTTACTTGGATAGACAAATGCCATCACTTCAAACTTTCCCCCTTCCTCTTTCTTCCCCACAGCTTTATGTCCTAAGCATGATGTCACATGGTCTGGAAATCCCTTTGGTCAGTTTGGGTCACCTGTCCCAGCTGTGTCTTCTCCCAGTCTCCCATGCACTCCCAACTTCCTCACCAGTGTGGAAGTACAAGAAGCAGAAAAGGCCTTGGCTCTGTGTAAGCCCTGCTGAGCAACAACAAAAAAATCTGTGTTATCAACCCTGTGTTCAGCACAAATCCAAAACACAGCCGCTGTGAAGAAAATTAACTCTTCCCCAGCTGAAAACAGCACAAATGTATTAAGCCCTTTCACTTTAAAATTAGTTTTGATAACTAATACTGTCTAGTCTTTTCCTCAAAAACACAGCAAACTTTTGGTTGAATAATATTGAAATAAGAGATAAAGTAGAGAAGTGAGAAGAATTATACTTCAGGGAATGCAAATTTTATAAAATTTCCCATCAAGTTCTGGAATATCACTTCAAATAGTTGTTGAGCTGTACAGCTTACCCGGCCAGGGCAGCTTGAAGCAGAGGGTGTTTGAGTAACTCTGTACTTTAATAAATGCTTCCCTGTCTTCTACCACCTCAGAAGTGCCTTCAAGTAACATAAGTGTACTGTTTCCTTGGCAGCAGGGAAGGGTGAGAAGGAGGGGTAATGTGAAAGGTAGAGGAGGGAAGAAAATAAAGTACGGCAGACATAGGAAGGAAGGAGATGCTCTTCCCAAAGTCATTTCTCAAACCAGCCATTTAATAAATTAGAAAAACAAGCACATAAATACAATTGATGGTATATTGAGTAGGAAGTGTAACTGCAGGTAACATAAAATTGAACATTTGCTTTCATCTTTTCTCTGCTTCCATTTGTTCTGCAAGTGCATAAACTTTCCAGACTTGTTAAAGAGAGAATTTCTGTAAGCAGGACCACAGTATACATTGATATTTGTGTGTACTATGAGCACATCCATAAAATTTTAGGTGTGATGATGACAGCACTAAACAAACAGACTTCTGTGACAAGAGATTTGAATATGCTGCAGAAATTGCAGACTTTCAGGGTATCAGGAATGCAGAAACAAATAAAAAATCTTCCAATAAACACAAAGAAGCAAGATTACATTTTATATGTTTTGAATTGTGAGGGTTACTGGCTGGAAGAACCTACCATTACAGATTTGAAAGCATTCATACACACCTAATAGAAGCAATGTCCATCTTTCATATTTTACAGCCTAATAAGGGAACCTCTTATTAAGTAACCTTGAAGGAACTAATAGAACAAAGAAAATACAAATCTATAGCAATTCTGTTCTTAAAGCTAAACAGAGCACTAATGATTAAGTACCTATGGGGGAAAAAAACCCCAACAACCTTATTTTTAAAACATGGGCAAATTTAATTATTTAGAACCAATTGCTACACAAATCACAGATGACATATTTTACAGAGAGAAAAAGCATGGCTAACCTCCACCTCTGCAAGGTATAATCCTATATTTAGATGTAAGTGCTGTCTCACTGGATTTAACAGATCAAAATGCTGCAAAAAAAAACATTCTGCACAGTTAAAAGTAAATTCTTACACCTGATAATCCAATACAAGCTAAAAGTCACTCTGTGCTCTTGCACAGGCTGAAATAGGAAAAACTATTTAAATGCATTAAATTAGCATTTCAGTAATTGTACTGAGTTATCTGAGTTCCGTTACAAAACTGCAACAATTTGTGAGAATAATAAAAGGCAGTCTGATTAAACATAATTTAAGAGTCACCTGCTGAGCACCTGAATCAGCTGGCTAAAAAAGTATTAATGTTGATGCATTTAGCTAGCTATGAAATTCTTTAAAGGTGGCAGTATCCCTTGATAATGAAAAAAAACAAAGGAAAGAAAAGAAGTCATTAGGTGTGTGACCTTCAAGTACTATAAAAATATCCAGAAAAGATGGAAAGTGAATTAAGTGAAGAACTATTTTTACCAGGTATTTTTTGGACCACAGTCAATATTTTCAATATGTATAATAAAAAAAAATTGCTTTTAGTAACAAAAAAAATAAACCCCCATCCCTTACTGCCCCTTAATTGGAGGAAGGACATGAAGCAATTCTAGATATCTCTTAAGCTACATCCCTATGAATGAAGACATCCCCAGCCTTGAAAACTTTCGTTACTGTTTTAGAGCTGTTGTCAATCCAGTGCCCTTATGTGCCATATCCTACACATCCCAGATTACAAAAGGTTTTAAACTGGAGCAGACTTGCTCCATTGGTGGTGTTGCTGGAGAAGAAAAAGTGCAGAAATAGTCAAATTGTATAAAATCAAAAGTAGAAACAGCAAAGCACCCATCCTCCTAATATGCAATTTTATTATCTGCATGGAGTCATAGTATTTTCCTTGTCCCTTTAATGTGGAACATTATCAAAAGGTCTAGGAAATAAGCATAGGTACAGGAGAGGTGGTATTCCAGTTAGGGTATATAATTACATGACACCATCGTTGCTGAGGTGAAAGTTAGGGTCTGGTGGGTAAAAGCCCTGCCAGATGGTATAGAAAAGGTAATTTACACACGTGGTTCATGCAGTTAGTTTCCATGCCCATCATCTCAGCAGCTATACTGCAGTCATTTGGTATGGTCTCAAGAGCATTTTTATTGCTGTATAGATACCCTTGATCTTGTATTACCCTATATTACCCTGGTGTTATCTCTGTTTTTATTAATGTGACTCTGCCTTTACTGAATGACACCTTTCAGTCTAATATTGAGTTCTGCAATGCCTGTTTTTTTTGTTTGTTTGTTGTTTTTTTTTTTTTTTTGTCATTGGACAACAAGGCTTTTTCCTTTGCTACTTTCTTAAAAACTCTGGGTGTTGTGCAGAATATGCTTTGAGAATGGAGTTTCCTTGGCTTTTTTTTTCTTTGTTTCACTTCCTTTTATTTACTGTATTTCTATATTTTTGACCATATTATGAGTTCAGAATTCTCAGTTATTTTTACAGGAGCTTGGCATTAGTAGGGGCAATAGGGTAACGGCCAACATAGCTTTCTAATATCTTTTATTGCTGTCTGTAAGTGTTGTATCTCCGTTGTATGTTGCTATGTGAGCTTTTCAAATGACCGGCCGATCCACGTCACTTCAAATATTTCAGTGGTTTTTATCCTCCCAAAAATCTAATTTTTCTTGTGTCTGTTGTGTTTCCAGTCCTGTTGTTAATACAGTTTAGCTCAATACCGCTTGGCAGTATTTATCTTGTTCTTGCAATTAGAGAGGTTAGGAAAAGAAAATCTGTTTTCCGAATATCTCCATTAATCATAATTATCAAGTGAGATCTGCAGTAACTGCTTCTCTCTTTATATTAAGGTGTGCATGCACATGCATGTAGACATACCCATGTAAAATCAACCTTTTTGGCACAGCAGATACAGGCCTTATGACAATCAGTAAGAGCAGTTCCACCAGTATATAATGAAAAGGTAGAAAAAACCCTGAAGTTTTATCCCAAACAGATAATGTTTCTGTCGTAGGTGTTCACCGTTGCCATGTTAGCGTGATTGAGCAGTTCGGAGCTGCCACACTAATTAATGTGTGGTATATGAAAGAATGTAACAATTAAGTTCGCATGAAGAATAGATTTTTTTTCAGAAAACAAACGCATTCATTCTTTAAAATGAACTTCAAAATTATTTAGCAATGGAAGATAGAACAAATAGCTAATTTCTGTTCTTTCTCATTAATCATGCCACAGGAGGGAAGGTTTATTTAGCTCTGAAAATGCAAACTCTCCACAATTCTTAGTTTATACCTTGAAATTGTGATAAAATATCCCAGACTGCTCAATGAGACTAAAGTGAAAACCTGGCTTATCAGTTTTCTAGCAAGCTGTGTGATGAGTATGACCTCTTGTGTTAGACATGGGAATATTCATTTTTTTTATTCACACAATGAAACAACCAAGACAGTTGACTAAATATCTAAAAGCTTGTAGCAGCACTGTCCTTGCATTTCAACAAATAAACAGGATAGCAGAAGGAGAGGTATAACATTTGGGACTTGTGACTTCTATATATGAATTAGAAAAATAAATGCAATCATTTCCCCACACAGCATAAAGATATCAGATATTTTAGTATAACAAGACCTTAGAAAGATTTTTTTTCTTCTTCTTCACAATTCTAATATAAGCTTCCATGATCAGAGTAGATGAAGTTACAGGATAGAGCTTTGGTGACTTCTAGATAAAATATGGAGATTTACAAATTTCTTAAAAGGCTTTTCAAGGTAAACTAGGTCATGAGCATTTATATCCTGGTAAAATGAAAGCTTAAAAGAAAGTGCCTTTAAGAAAAATTAAGGACATAGCATGAACAGAAAAGGAAAGATGGAACCTTGCCTATCTAATTTTTAACTAGCTCACAAAACATGTATTTTGAAAGCATGGTTCAGCAAGACTGAAGCAGAACAGTAGAAGCCCAGGTTCCCTGGGATTTTAATTTCCAAAGATTCCTGAGATTCATGTGTTTCAAAAAACAGGCAAAATTGGGACAAGTAGGACAGAATTACAGCACCATGTTTTTTTAAAGAACATGGAATATCTGAAGCTGCGCTAAACAGCCTGTTCATTCTTAAGAAAAAAAGCACCTTTTATCTGGCTGTTGGTGTTCAGGGAAATTAGTGCAATATTGAGCATCCAGATATACTTCTGTGTAACTTAAAAACGGAAAGTATTTTATCATTTGTGTAATGAAGTGTGTGTAGATTTCTATTCAAAACTTGGTTGTATGACAAATTTTTTTTTTATCACAAGACATTATGATTTTTGGTATCATATATATTCCCACTTATGACTTCTTTTTCAAAATACCATGCGATGTAAACATAATTAAATTTTGGTCTGTCTGTAAATAATTTATCTATACTGTAACGCATGATATTTACTACATTAGTGAGGGTTGTTTCATTGTGTGGGTGATACATGTGCTTGCTTTAAAAACTACATCTTGATTCGGAATTAACTTTAAATTTTATAACAGAGCATATTTAAAAACGTTGCTAATGACACTGCCTCACTCATTTTTCTAACCTACATCTAAGGATTTCAAAGGAAATTGAATGTCACAGGAGACACAGAAATTATAAGGATGCAGGCTTTTATCCTAGAAAGGCTTGGTGGATTTTGTCTTTAACATTGCCAAGAAATTAAAGACGTAAGGAAGTCTTCCATGGTATCAAATATTGACTGGGAAAAAAATTAAAAAAAAAAAAACCAACAAAAAACCCCTCTCTTATAGTCTTGCCTAGTTGACAGTTGACAAGAATGACACATCTGTAACAAGGTAAACTACTTCTCATTTTCATAATTCTTTCCTTAAATAATCTTTCCTTAAATAAATGCAGAAAGCAGACTTTACCTGATGCAGACATGTCTCTGCCTAACGGAGCTGCCAGAGCAGATTACTCAGTGGGGGCTTGGGAGGCAAAGAAAGGGGAAAAGGCAAAATGGCAGCGGACAAACAACTTCAAGACTGTGCAGGCAGTGCATGGCAGGGAGCCGGAGACGGAGAGGACCTACTTAGTGACACCGGTCCCGTTTCACGGTACAGCTCCTGCCGACCCGGCGGAGCAGGTCTCCAGCCCTCGAACCACCCCCGGCTGCCGCTGGCCTCACGCCCCGGCTGCGCCTCTCCCTCCTCCGGCTGAGGGAAGAGGGAGCAGCCGGCAGAAGCCGCGCGTCCCCCCCACCCGTCCTTCGTGACAGGCCCGGGATGTGCCGGGAAGGGCTCCCCACCCCGCGCCGCGGCCGCGGCCCCTTTCAGCCCTCCGCGGCCCGGAGCGGCGGGCGCGGAGCGAGCCCGACGCTGTGTTTTGCAGGGCGGCGGCGGCGGCGGCGCTGCTGGACAGCTCCGGAGCGCGACGCGGCGCCCATGTTCCGGAGACGGCGCAGATGTGAGTGGGGAGCCGGGGAGAGACGCCGGGGAGAGCCGCGGCGGAGCCCCTTCGCCGACAGGCGGGGGAGATCCCGGGAGGGAGCGCGCTCCCCGCCCCCGGGAAGCCCCGGGTTTCCGCGGCGCGGGCGGGGCGGGCGGGGGGCGAGGGCAGCCCTCACCTGCGGGGGGCGGGAGGCGGGATCCCCGCGGGCGGGGGCCCCGCGCCCCCCGCTGACGGCGCGGCCGCTCCGCCTCCGCCAGGTGACGTGATGCCCGTTGTTTTGGTGCGCCCGACCAATCGGACGCGGCGGCTGGATTCTACGGGAGCCGGGATGGGCCCGTCGTGGCGGCAGCAGGACGCTCCCCTGCCGACCGTCACGCATTGCGCAGGGTGCACCACCGCCCGGTCCTCCTGCGGCTTTAACGGCCCCGGCATGGACCCGCCGCGCCACTTCCCGGCGGGCTTCGGCCCCGAGCAGCAGCAGCAGCAGCAGCACCAGCAACAGCAGCAGCAGCAGCAGCAGCAGCAGCAGCAGCAGCAGCAGCGCCCGCCGGCGCCGCCGCACTGCCAACAGCACGGCCAGGACAAGCAGAGCCTCCTCCAGCAGCAGCAGCAGCAGCAGCAGCAACAGCAGCAGCAGCAGCAGCAGCAGAGCCCGTGCCTCCAGTGCAACAACTGCGCCTACTACGGGGCTGCTGCGGCAGCCGCGGGGGATAACCTGCCCCTGCTGCTCCGCGCCTCCTCGCCGCTTTCGGGCGCCTTTCGGACGCACTCCTCGCCGCTGTCTTCCGCCGCCTCCTCCCGGCAAGGCAGCCAGCTGAACGTCAGCGAGTTCACCCCGTCCAGCCATGCTGGCGCGTCCAGACAGCCTCACCAATATTCCCAGTACCACCAGTGCCATAGCCTGCAGCAGCAGCAGGCAGCCAGCCCCAGCAGCAGTGTCAGCAGCAGCAGCACTCACCATCATCATCACCATCACCATCACCACCACCATCACCAGCAGCAGCAGCGCCGGGAGAGCAACCCCTTCACCGAAATAGCCATGAGCAGCTGCAGGTACAACGGCGGCGTCATGCGGCCGCTCAGCAACCTGAGCTCGTCCCGCAGGAACCTGCACGATCTGGACTCCGAGTCACAGCCGCTCCAGGCGCCACTCGCCAGCCCCGCCGCCGCTGCCGCCGGCTCTGCCCCCGCCGCCGGCAGCCCCGCCGCCCCGGAGATCGTGGTCTCCAAGCCCGAACACAACAACTCCAACAACCTGGCGCTGTACAGCTCCGCCGGCCCCGGTCCCGGCCCCGGCACGGGAAGCTCCAACAACGGCGGGGGCAAGTCCAGCAAGAAGAAGAACCAGAACATCGGCTACAAGCTCGGACACCGCCGGGCTCTCTTCGAGAAGCGTAAGCGCCTGAGCGACTACGCGCTCATCTTCGGCATGTTCGGCATCGTCGTCATGGTCATCGAGACCGAACTCTCCTGGGGCGCCTACACCAAGGTATCAGCTCAGGCGGCAGCCGGTCCCACCGCCCGCGGCCCCCGCCCCGTCCCCGTCCCGTGGTGTCCCCGCTGTCCGGTGGCGCGGTGCCGCCGGCCGCCTCCTCGGGCCGGGGTGGCGGTGGGGCGGAGCGGCCCCGCGCGTGGGTTCTCTGAGGAACGGCGGTGTCTTTTTCTTGCAGGAGTCTCTGTATTCCCTCGCTCTGAAATGCCTTATTAGCCTCTCCACGATTATCCTGCTCGGGCTCATCATCGTGTACCACGCAAGAGAAATCCAGGTAACGTTTCCTTCTGTGGGTCAGGGAGCGTGGCTGGCTTAGGTGGGGGTGCGACACGGTTTGTCCAGGGGAGCTGTGCTGGTAAGTACTGGGCACGTCCTGCCGCTTCAGAAAGCAAGCGTGGTCTCTGCAAGGCTGCCGAAGTTGGTGAATGGACTTCAGCCCCGGAGACGGGCACCAGACGACGGGCAGAGAGCAGCCAGGAAGCTTTGCCTGCTAAGGAATTCTGCCTGCTAGGGACTGTTGTCTGCAGTTGTGCTATAGGGTTGCCTAGCCTTAAGGTTATAACCTGCTTTCTAGGTGATGTGCCTCTCATCTCCTGCAGCAGATGTGGAGCAATAGTCTTTTATTTTTCAGTGACTAAATTTCATGTTGTGTGTTTTCTCTTGACAGTAAGGTTAATGGTCTTCACTGTGCAAGGTATGTAATCCTCAGTGAGCCGTCTGAAATAGGAGTATACTCTAGGAGAGTGTTTAAAAGGAGGGGGATGATTGATATTTGACTTGTTTTATTTAATGCTGTAGTGTCTAGGAATGTGACCAGAGAAAAGTGTTAGGAAGGATAGGGCTAAAGGTAAGAGGAACATAATGGTCAAAACTATAGAATAAATCTCACAGATACTGTTGCAGGTTCTGTCCAGGCGACTTAGTCCTAGTTTCAGTTGCATTTTTTTCGACCAAGAAATTAAAATGTAGCATTTCAGCTCAACCAAACGGTACAACAGACAGAATTCATAGTTTTGAAGGGAAAAATACCTTACTCATAGATATAGTGCGTTTGCTTTTTCAGAGACTCCTTGAGCTGAAGAATGAAATGTCAGGTTTCAAGGGCAATGAAGACTTTTCCACTGGTACCATTCAGTTAAATTAAAAAATAAAAAATTAAGCATTGTATAGTACAATCCTTCTTCTGTGCAAATGAAAGCATGTAGTTTCAACATGAAATGGTACATGGTCTACTAAGGGTAGTGTTTGAAAAGTATTGTATCACTGAAGACTTTTTGCCAAATTGAATCGTGTTATACAGTCTTTGCACATGCAAAACTTCTCTTCCTGGCTCAGAACCCAGTTTTTCTGCATTAATGTCAAAGATATTAAAAGCTGTTTAATTATATTATATTGAATAAAAAAGTGTTCTGGAGAGAGAGCAAATTTATAAACTACAGGACTACTGATGAACAGGTTTCTTTATCAGTATAAAAATAAATAAGTAGCACTCCTGCAGTGTGGGAGCCTTATCTGGTGTATCTTCCCACAAATGTTTCTTCAGGCATGAACAGCAAAGCTTAAAACAAGCCCTCTCTAAATGTTTAAAATATTCTATGCATTTTTCAGAAACTTTAAATGAAGAATTTTATGGAAGATAAATAGTTGAACGAAATAGTTGAATGAAAATGAAATAGTTGTAGGTCTGTGCAGGTACCTCAGCTTATACTGAATAGTTACTCCAAGATTCAGTAGTTTGTTGGGTTTTTTCAGGTAAGGATTTAAAAATTTTCACTGTCTTAGTAATCAGATCCCTTATGGATCAGAAAAGAAATATTTTTTTTAAATTGTCATTCCATTTTCGTTGGTTTTTTAACTGATCATTTTAAAGAACTTCCTCATGTATGCAACTTCATGGCAGGAGTTGTGCAATCATATGGCTTAATCTTGGTTAATGTAGTTTCCAGTGCTGCCGGACAGAGGACAAGTATACCTGCCTGTAAAACTGAAATACCCCGTGTTTCAGAATGAGAGTAGTCATGACAGTGCCTGGGGGAGCTGCGGCTTCAAGAGGTTCTGTCATTCACATCAAAAATGAAGAGAACTTCTCTGTTTTAAGGAGTTTGGAAGGAAAGGATGTAGTACCTTCTGTAGCTGTTAGATTTCTGCTCTCTTTTGAATTTAAGCATAGTGTGTTTTTCTGCACACACTTGACTTTTAAAAAATATGATGATGAGAGTGCAGGACGAAGGCTATGTCAATTCTATGGTAGTAAAATCTATGTTGCACTAGACACCTGGGGAGAAAGGGTATCTTTAAAATTCCTTGGCTAAGTACATAATGTTCTCCAGGCAAAAGAAGATACTGTGTAACCCTGATAATGTAATGTTTTTTAATGTTTTAAACAGTCTTTAAAGCAGACTGTTTTCTGAAGGCAGATGTGTCATTAATTCAAGCAAGCGTTCTGCTCTGTGCAGAAGAATGAATAAGGTCTGTAGAACAGGGCCCACAGCTGGCTGGTTGTGTCCTGGAGGATTTTTGCACCAGCTATTAGTCAGTCCTGTTCCCGTTGAAACATTCTTTTCTGATTATTGTCTGAAACATACTTAAGTATTTGTTATAGTGTAAATAAGCAGGAATTCATTGAGAGAGGAAAATTTGTTCCATAGAAGAGAAGAAGGTGGCTGTATTCAGCTTGCAGCTGAATGGTGGTGTCTTTCATATGGGAGCAAACTAACCTTTGCGTAAGTGGATTTTTTTACAAAGCATGAGGCAAAGAAAAATGTTGGGAAATACAGAGCTGACAGTTTAGTGATTATTACTGAGTGCAGGATGAATACTGACTGAAAAACTACTGTTGACCTAGAATGCTAGCAAGTGGAAGTAATCTTTTTCATTCTTTTCAGTAGTCTTTGACCTTGATTTATTGGTAGGAAGATCAAACAGCCATGCTGCAAGGATGTCTATGGGACAGTGCCTAGAAGCACAGCAGGTGGCTTTAGTCTTCTCTTGAAGTGACATTGCTCGTATATTTTGTTTTGAAAAGTCAGCCAGTTAAACCAGTCTCTGAAGTTTGTCTGCCCCACACTTGCTCCTCTTTTTTTAAGGGAGTTGGGAGGGAAGTTAATAAAGGTTTGCCAAGATTCTTCCCAAGGCGAGAAGTGATACAGCAGCGTAAGACAACTGAGTTTCTGTCCCTTCCCGCAGTCAGACCGCGTTGTGTGTGCGGTGGGGTGCTGAGCACCCCGGGGGCGGCTGGGGCGGTGTGGCCGCCGCCGGTTCAGCACCGCAGACAGCTCCGCGCGCAGCGCCCGGCTCGGGCGGCGCATCCCGCCCGGCCATCGGAACCGGGACCTGCGCGGCCGTGCCCAGGGCTTCCCCAGAACTTACACATCGCTCTGCATCTGGCAGACCAAAGTCTCCAGAAGGGTGGTAACTGCAGTGTTTAGACAAGGCTAACTGTAGGGATGCTGAGTAATCTTTGTGAAATACTGGAACTGTTTAAACATTCTCCACAAATACATTTTCAGGGATGGCACTGTACTAGCCAGACTCCAGGAGTAAAAATATGAGCTGTTATGAATTTTAATAAATGTGAATTACTGTTAAGAATATAGCCAAAGTCAGTTGAAAACAGTTGGGTTCAATAGTTAATTCGTAGCTTAATTTATCATTTCCCAAAAAGGGGATAAAAATTGTGAGCAAGTTTGCTTCACATCCTTCCCCCTTCTAGAAAAAGTCCTAATGAGCAACAGTAACAGAGTTGGAGTTGAGGCTAGTGATAACCCCAAAATGTGTGTTCACTTTTTGCTCCATTTTTTGTTTTGCCTATAATGCTGTTAAAAACATTACACTTGGGAGATAATGAAATATGCATCACTCCCTCTCCAGGCCTGTGTGGTTATTGATTCAGTTCTTCAGAACAAGTGCTTTGTGTTTGAAAGATCAACAGGAAAAATGTAATTCATCATTATCCCAGCCTAGAACAGGTATTTCTCTGACTGTTACTCCAGTTGAGAGTTTGAAGAGGTGAAAGAGGGAAGAGCTAAAAAGACAACATTACCCAATTATCATAATATTTTTTGATTAATTATCCACTTCACGCATAAACAGTTTGTTACTTAATACTATTTTACATAATTAAAGCAGAGGCAGTATGTAAAGTAATTAAAATTGTATTCTTTAGAACTTACTGTTCCATTCCACATTTCTCTAGTGGAATTCAATTCATAAATAAAATGGAATTTAAGAAAGTTTTGAGTGGCAGTTTACAAGGTAAATCTGTGGTTTTTCTAATTTTATTTAAAAATGGACCTTTCTGCCTATCTCTAGTATGGTTAGAGATAGAAATGCTTTTTAACTATGCACCCCTGAACCAGTACTGACACTTTCTTGTATTACGAAGAGCAAAAGGATTAAATCAAAAGTCTGTGAGACTGCCATTGAGGTCTTTAATGTCTTTTGTTAGGCATTCCACCACAGCTGAGTATCTCTTGAGAGATGGTGGTCAGTGGAAGAATATATCCACTGGAACACTTCTTTAATGCTGGACTGCTTAGTGTACCCTTTCTGTAAATAAACATACTGCCTCTCCTGAATAATAGTAACCTGAGTATTGCTAACCTGTGCTGTCTCAGACAGCATCTGGGCTTCTTTTTCTTTTCCCTGATACAGATGCTGTCACTCATGCAAAAACATGAAAGTTGTTGGTATTTGTTAAAGCTAATAGAAGTCTTGTATGTATGTGTGTGTGTTATCCGCTAAAGTTTCTAACCACATTTGAAATGTATTGCTAGTTCATACTTTGATAGAACACCCATGGAAAGGCTTGCAAACTCCAAGGTTAACCTTAAGTTATTGCTTGCACAGCCGAGCGTCACAGAGCTGCAGGGAGAAAGCAACGTCAATCCCAATGGTTCTGAAGTGGTGGGATAATAATGTGCTACTGATAGATTTGGAGTGAAACATTTTCAGTTGTCACTACCTTTCTATAAAATTACCACAGCTGAGACCCCAAATGTCTTCCTGAAGAATCAAGAATCTTCTTTTCCCTGTGCCTGAAAACTTGAAAAAATGGAACAGGCAGTATCAGGTAACAGAAAATATGGAAATAACAACATAATACCTGTTCATTATGCAAATACATCCTATCATGCATGATGATAATAAGCACAGTTTATGGGAGTTTCATTATTTTGCTGGCATCAGTGGAAAGTTTTACGGTAAAAACTATGCATTTGTGAACAGTTAAATCCCTTACAGTTTCTTGTCATAAGAAGTAATGCTTCTTCTACA